GAACACGTCGCCCCAGAGCTCCTGCACCAGCGTGTTGTTGGGATACAGGGAAGGGTGAACTTTCAGGAGATAGTCTCTCAGAGCAGGGATCTGTCCCCGGCGAATGGCAAACCCGATAGTACCACCGAGAGAAGGGTAGAACTCGCTGGCTGCAAACAGCGAGGCCGTGACCCAGACTTCACTGGCTATCCACTGAATGCCAGTGATGTTCTGAGCAGCATACTCCTTCAGCAGGGGGTAGAGCTCCCCTTCCCCAGCAAAGGTTATGACCACTTTGGCAGTAGAACGCTTAATTACATCTATGATCTCTAGGATTCTTTTTTGACTGTACACTTTTGGAATCATTTCATAATAGGCCAGGCACACTCCGTTTTGTTTAAATTCCTTCAGCAGGCCCTGCAAGGCAAACCTGCCGTATTCGTCATCCTCTGAGACCACAGCTACCCAACTCCAGCCGAAGCGCTTTATGAGCTGAGTGATTGCTTTGACCTGGTAATTGTCATTAGGGATTGTTCGAAAAAACGTTGGGAATTCTCTCCTATCGCTGAGGCACGAACATGTTGAAACATAGCTAATCTGAAAAAGAAAAAGTTTAAAATAAACCCCAAAGGCCTAGGAAGATGTAAATAAAAACCCAAATCTTGTCATAAATCATGTGCTCAAGTACACTGTGCAAGAAAATGGACATTATTAATTTTACAAACAAGAGCTTTGCACTTCACTGTATTTTATTTTTACAGTGATCATTCTAGCCCCTACTTATCTTCCTGTATATTAAGAAAACTCTGTTGCGGCTGGAACTTTTTTTCTGTTGCCTGTTGAACATGACCACAGCTATTTGATATGTGTCTTGATACATAAGAACCGATGCATTTCTTTTGCCTGTAAAAGCTTACTGTAATTAATATTCCTTCAGATTAAAACAAATAAATTATTAGAAAATGATGTGCTATCTTACAGTACATGTCAAACCCTCTAGTTTTATCAGGTGTTCCTTTTAATTAATTTTACTGATGGACAAACTATGCACTTAAAACTCTTAGATGCGAACATATACAATGAACTCATATTGATTTCATACCATTGGAATTCTGAAGGGCTGCAGTGTTCTGGAGACGACAATGGACTGTGATGACCCCGAGTCTCCGATGATGACCTTTACAGGCCAGGCTCCAGAGCACATCCTGCTGGA